AGAGCCTTGTCTCATTTTAGACCACCTGACTTAGTGTTAAATATACTGTTTGCTTATCCTACCATCAGTACCAATTACAGTATTAAGGTAACTGGTTTCTCGAAGACCTGTGTACATTGCTGACCTTACTTATGCTCCTAATGAATCTACATCAATAAAAGATGTACTTATCAATGAAGTATAGAGCCAGAGCTGCCAGTACATGTATAAATGTGCTAAAGATTGTCACTTTTGATAGGAGTAAGGGATAATTGCTGAGAACAGTGTAGTTCTCCATAAAACACATGATAGTGAACTGTTTTGAGCTGTTGGGCCAGCACATATCTGAATGAGACCTTAATGGTTTTGTGAGCCAAAAGCTAGAATGCCAGTAATTGGGCTGCATTCCTAAGTCTGCAATTCCTTTAGGCCTATATGCCAGTTCCTGTCCCCAGGAAACAGACACTGAGGTCAGAATTTGGGTCAAAGCCTTTTAATTGAGCCTCCATGTTGCCTCTGGGCTTGGGTCAATAGGGTGCAAGGCTCTGTGTGTGGGTCTGGACCGAGTATATTATAGGGGCGCAGGTGGCCTACGGGACTTTTCTAATACAATTGTGAGAAGCAGATTATCTGCTTTGCAGATTATCTGATCTTCCATCATCAGCTTTCCCATTGGGCTTGTAAGTGGCCAACGATGGGCCTGAAATGAAAGCTGCAGGAAGTTAGGCACAGTGGGCCCTGTGATCTCATTACAAATCCAAATATGAATCAGGCAGGCACTGCTTTGTGAAATGACTTTAGTTTGATTTGGTTTGGCATTTTCTCTCTCTTAAGCTTTGTTCTCTAGTTCTTCAGCTTTGTTTGTTGTTCTCCTTGAGATTTTTAGACTGCACATTAGACATGTCATGAAATCCGTGCAAATACAATGACTCAAACACCTTTCCTTCTCTTGTGAATGTAGGTATACCATTGCACAGTAAGTTATTCTTTGGAAATTTATTAAGTCATGCCCACAGAGGCTGTCTTGGTGCCCTGGTGATCTTGGTTGATCATGCTGTGTTTTGGTCAAGGCAACTATGGTTTAAACAAAAGGGAAGTGTTGTCAACATGAGTCACATTTCCCATGGATTATAAACTAAGAGCTGTTTTATGAATTATACTTTTATTAAAGGCATCATCCCCCCATATTTTCTGAGGGAGAAGCAAACAAAGACATAGAGACAAAGAAACAAGAGATGATTATACTCTTTTCTGTGACTAAGCAAGTAGCAGCCCTAATTTGTGTGTGTGTGTGTGTGTGTGTGTGTGTGTGTGTGTGCAGAGTCTCATTATACAGCCCAGACTCCTAATGATACTCTTGATTTCTGCCTCCCTAGAGTTGGGATAAATCGTTGATAAGTAGATTCATTCCCCCTTTTTTGGTATAAAAAATTTTTTTATATGCCTAGAAGCAATATGGCAGAATGTGAAGAAAAAAAATTAAGAAATATTTAGAAGAAATAGGAATAAACAATTACATATTTTTACACAGAAATTTAGAAATCTAATCATATATGGCGTTGTATCAGGATAGTCCTATGACCTTTTTTTTTTCTTGTCCCTTATTTTCATTTATTACACTTTTTTAAAAAAACAAACTTTTACTTGAGAGACAATATAGCAGTAATGGGTATGACATGACAAGCAGTACATATTTAGAAGACCAGAATGACAGGCATTCCAAGCATGACCCTAGTATTACACATTGCTATCTTCAGTGCAGATGATTAGTTCAAAGGTATCAGCACATATAGTTAATCAGGGTGAGAATCCTACCAATTAACTGCTAGTTTCAAAAACCTGCTAATGATTTTCAGAATCATTGCCTTAACCATCTTGTGCATATAAATGTATGGCTTTGCCCTGTCATGTTTCCTAGCTTTTCTCCTTGCCCTCTCTACATTGTTTAAACCTTAAGTTCTCACTTTCCTTTTAATTGTGTTACACCTTTCTATTTTTATTTCTTCTTTTGAGTTCTTACACTAGGGAGACTATATGATATTTACACATGTGGGTCTGGTAGGGATTTAAAGTTTAATATATCAATACTTGATGGAAAATACCAGTTCCATGTTATATCTAAGATGTTTGATATTTAGACAGATAGTGAGGTTAGGCTCAACTACCTATGTTATAGGGTAATAATATCATTAAGCTTCTCTTCTGGGGGGTTAACAACTTAAGTTTGCAGACCAAAAATTAGAGAAAAACAAGGGCTGCAAGCCAACGTTTTGGCCTTAACCTTTCAAGGTCAATGAGGACTCAGGACATAGGAGAAACTGTACTATAGTACTGTAACATCCTATAACAGTTGTGTCCCAAATTTACTGATCAAGATTATGGGGCCACAGAGGAAAATGATTGATGATGTAGAGTATGCCTAAGGAGAGTCACATGGAGAGAAAACATTCTCTCAGGCTTTCACAGAGAGCAAATTGGTCAAGCAATGGCCGTAATTCATCCACATGGCTTACAGTGACAAAGGATCTACAAACTGCAGTACAGGGTTTCAGGATAAATCCTGAGGGGATTTGGCTGACCTTGTCAGATACGAAAGTTACATTTCTTGTTATATAGGTCTTGCTTTATCTTGGTCTTCACCATCCAGCAGAAAAGTATAAAAATGAGGTATAAAAAGTAAAGGCACATTAATATGCTGAGCTATAAAAGGCTCAAGTCAACAACTTCTGACATTGCCAGTCCTATGGATAACCCACTACTATTATGGACTACTGGACTGTATTGGATTATTTTGCTGAATTCATGCACCTACAATATTGAAATGGCAATGGAATACCCATCTCTGACAAAACTAAATAATAAAAGGGGATTCAAATGAAGGATCATTTTGTGTCTGTATATACAAAACAGTATAGATATATAGCTACTTTCTCTTAATTCAGTGAAAAGAAAGATTTATACTAATAGTGTTTGGACAGGATATCATGTTTGCATCTTGTACTATGAGACAACAATATTCAATGTATTAATTTTTTTTTAAATTTTTATTTATTTGTGTGTGTGTGTGTGTGTGTGTGTGTGGCCAGCTCAGCCCACCAGGGGGCGGGGCTGGCTGGCATGTGGTGCTGGGGGATTGAACCGTGGTCCCTATGCTTTGCTAAGCGTGTTCTAAGTAGGTGCTTTAGACCATTGAGCCATCTCACCAGCCCCAATGTATTAATTATTGAAACTGCCCTACTAATTGGTTTTGAAACTGTCTCATTGCTATTTGTTTCTCAATAAAATTAATAAAAAAGGAAAATAAAAAAGCAATATGGCAGACTCCTAAATGCTGATCTTTGTTCTCATCCTAGATCATACCTCTCAAAGTATGCTTTCAAAGCCAGTCTTTTTCTTCAAAAGCAGATACTTTCTCCTGCAGTCCATCAGCCATTGTGTAGATACTCTAAGAATAAAAAGAGAATTGAGAAGTACCAATGAACAAGAATTTGGGTTCAAAAAAAAAAAAGAATTTGGTTTCAAACAGCACTTTTACTTATCTCTTTGTTTTTGAATAAATCAAATTTGACAACTTGCTTTTTATATTAGTAGCAGTCTGACTTGTACTGACAGAAAAACCTTTGGTCTTTGAGTTTTGTTGGCAATGTTGTAGTCTGTTACTCAGCAGCCACCTGTCAGCTCCTTCTCAGCAGATGCTCTTCCAGTTCCATGGGACTCACAGGTTAATAGTATAGATTCAAATCTCTGCCTTTTGGAGAGCTACACTTTTGATATTGTGATATAATAAGAAATAATGCATTTGGACTCCACTCTGGTTTCTGGCACAGTGCTCCTAAAATCTTTGTAAATAAGGGCTCTAGGAAAATATTTTGTTTTAATGTCTAGTCCTTCTCCCAGGATACCTGAATAAAACTAAGACCTCTGTAATCTCCTGGGTGATAGGAGCGTCTTTTGTCCTAATGAAGTCACTCCTGGGTAGTATACACCATAGCCTCAGGATGAGAGCTGGTTGCCATGGGAACCAGTGCTGTTATTAGAGGATTGTGACTGTGCTTCCCACCCCCAGACTTCCCGAGTGGTGACAAGGGCTTAAGGTTGAGTTGGTCACCAGTGGTCAATGCTATAATCAGCCCTGCCAGTGAAATGGAAGCTCCATTAAAAACTCAAAAGGACAGGGTTCAGAGAGCTTCTGAATAGCTGACCACACAGGTTTCTGGAGAGGGCTGGAATCTCTACAACCCTCCTCCTGTATCTCACCCCACGCCTGTCTTCCTCTGCCTGTTTATTTGTATCCATTGTAGTACTCTACAGGGTACACTGTAGAGTAAATGCATAAACATAAGTGCTTCCCTAAGTTTTATGAGCTGCTTTAGCAAAATTAACCAAACCTGAGGAGGGTCATACACATCTTCACTCGTTCCCTGGAAGTCAACTACAGGTGACCTGCAAGGACTTAAAGTTAGCATCTGAAATGGAGGATACTTTCCTGAGACTGAGCCCTCAGCCAGTGAGCACTACCACCATCTCCAGGTCTTTGGTGTTGGCACTGAGTTGAATTAGCTGGGACCCAGTAGGTGTCCACTGGAGAAGTGCTTGGTATTGAGGAAGAAAATCCCCACACCACTGATGTTGAAAGTGTTGAGTGGAAGAGAGAGCTTGGTATTTCTATATTACCTACAATTCACCTTAATTTTGCTCCAGAAGCATTTGACAAACTGCAATGAAGTTTTAAGTCACAAATACAGTTGAAAATAATAATGTTGTTTGTTCAAATACACTCACACTCCTTTGGATTTTTCTTAGCCCAGCATACTACTGGGGAAAGAGAGACCATGAACAAAGTAAGTAAATTACAGCTTATTAAAAAGAGATAAATAGTAAAGGAAAAAAAAAAAAAAAGAAGGAAAAGTTAGGTTAGAGGTTATAGGTTAAAGGGAGGAGGCAGACAGATGTGCCAGGTGTGGGGAAGAGGTTAGGAACAACAAAAAACATGAGAGCCATGAGAGAGATAGCAGGATTTCTGTGCTATGTCGCCCTGGACTTTGAGCAGGAGATGGCCACAGCTGCTTCTTCCTCCTCTTTGGAGAAGAGCTATGAGCTGCCTGATGGTCAGGTGATTACCATTGGCAACAAGCACTTCTGGTGTCCAGAGGCGCTTTTCCAGCCCTCTTTCCTTGGTATGGAATCCTGTGGCATCCACGAGACTACCTTCAATTCTATCATGAAGTACAATGTGGACATTCGCAAGGACATGTATGCCAACACAGTGCTGTCTGGTGGCACCACCATGTACCCAGGCATTGCTGATAGGATGCAGAAGGAGATCACAGCCCTGGCACCCAGCACCATGAAGATCACGATCGTTGCCCCTCCTGAACGCAAGTACTTCGTGTGGATTTGCGGCTCACTCCTGGCCTTGCTGTCCACCTTCCAGCAGATATGGACCAGCAAGCAGGAGTACGATGAGTCAGGCCCCTCCATTGTGCACCGTAAATGCTTCTAAATGGACTGAGCAGGTGCCAGGCACCTGCTGCATGAGCTGATTCCGAAGTATAATTTGCCCTGGCAAATGTACAAACCTCATGCTAGCCTCATGAAACTGGAATAAGCCTTTGAAAGAAATTTGTTCTTGAAGCTTGTATCTGATATCAGCACTGGATTGTAGAACTTGTTGCTAATTTTGACCTTGTATTCAAGTTAACTGTTTTTGGTCTGTTTTATACCTTGTGCATATCTTTGATTCATCCCCTTAGCCAATGTGGTTCGGTCACTTGGTGGTTGAGTTGAGCACACTTGGAGAAATCCGCGGCTTGGCAATCTGGGTGGCCACAGCACAGATCTGTGCAGGGATTGAGTCAGAGCTGACTGTTCCAGGATTTCTCGGGCTGGCAGGACTTGGTGAACCAGCTGTGACTCCAGTCTTTTTGCTGGTCTAACAGGGTGGTAGAGTCCAAGCCTTACAACCCTGTTTCCATCCACCATCATTGTTTTCCCACCTGAATACCGGTGGTGGTTTACTTGCCTTGAGTTGGAAACGGTTTGCATTTACACCTGTAAATTTATTCATTCTTTTAATTTATGTAAGGGTTTTGTTGTACTCAACCCTTTAAGATGACAAATTTTTGGTTTTCTTTTTCAAATTTTGCTGTTCAAATGGTAGAAAGTTCAAGCTTGGAGCCACGTGACAATCTAGGAATGTAAAGCTAGGTTTACGTGTCCACCATGAGCACCCTTGAATCAACAGCAAAGGGCAAGGGAAAGGGGAAGGAAAGACCACAAGCAAAGAATTTCTGGAACAGAAAAGTAGACAGGTGTATCCTGGTGGGGCACATTTGGTTTTCTACTGTGAGAACATTAGGACCCAGCAACATGTCATTGTGTAAGGAGAAATAAAGTGCTGCAGTACATGAAAAAAAAAAAAAAAAAAAGGATTTCTGCAAAAGTACATTCCATAAAGTGGGAACAGCAAATACAGAGGCAATTGACCATATTCTTACAGATCAGAACCAAGTTGCTTTTCCTAAAATCAGTCTTTCATTATATATTTGGTACAGGGTCTCACTACACAGCTTGCACTCATAGTGACCCTCCTGTCTCAGCCTCACCAGTGCTGGGATTATAGGCATATGCCACCACACCACTCCCAGTCTCAGTGGCCGGCTTAGTGCACCTGGGAGTGGGGCCAACATGGTATGTGGTGCCAGGTATTGAGCCCCAGTAGCAGGTGCTTAGTCTGTTGAGCTATCTCGCCAGCCCTCAAGTTCCTATCTTTACTATTTGTTTTTGATGTAATTTAACAATGTTAGAAGCAAAAGGTTTCTCTGAATCATTCTGTGTCTACCTAAATAATAATACTGTTTTCCAACATCTGAGACATCTTTTTAGGGGTCTTGCATCATGTATAACTATAAATTATAGTATTTGTTAAATACTGCATTAAAATAATTTCATGCCTTGAAACAAATTTATTTATTTTAGGAATCTGAAATACTATGCCCAACTTTTTATAGCAGCTACATCCAGGGTAGTATAAAAAGGAGAGGAAAAAAGTTTTGGTTTTTTTTTAATTTTTATTTATTTGATACAGATCTCACTATGCAGTTCAGACTCATAGTGATCTTCCTATCTCAGCCTCAAAAGAGCTGGGATTACAGATGTGTGCCGGGGCTGGCCTGGCATGCAGTACCAGGGATCAAACTCGGGTCCTTCTACTTGCCAGGCAGGTGCTTAGACAGCCAAGCTATCATCCCAGCCCCTAGAAAAGAAAATATTGTAAGATAGAAGATGTAACAGGCTGTATGCTAGGCTCTCCCTATAGATTACCTCCTATAATCAGTACAATATCCCTGTGGGGGGATTTTGTCTCCATCCTGCATAATGTTCAGAGAGATTAAATTATTTTCTCAAAACATCAAAATGGAAAATGAGGAAGCCAGAACCAAACCAGGTCCATTAGAATCTGAGACCAGTAAATAGAGCCACTGTTTGCCCATTTTTTTCATTTTTAAAATTTTATTTATTTATTTGATACAAGGTCTCACTATGCAGTTCATACTTACAGTGATCCTCCTGTCTCAGCCTCCCCGGTGCTGGATTGCAGGTGTGTACCAGAACACCTGGCTTCAGGGCTGGGATGGTGTGTCTGGGGTTCCAGGGAGGGCATGGCCTGTGGTACCAGGGATCAAACTCACTTGTGCTCAGATCACCAACCTATCTCCCAGCCCTGCCCATTTTTCTAGAAGGAACCTTATGGCAAATTTTGTTTTATGTATTTCTTTTCCTTTCCACAGGTAGGGTGATACATTAGTACAGACTGTTGATTTTGCCATCTGAATATCTGTCAGATGTACCCACATTTCTCCATCTTCACCACCAACTAGGATAGTCTTTCAGTCTGTAACTCATTGACCTGCTGTAGCTTGGCTTCCAAGCTGAGCAATTTTTAACATAAAACATTGATTGCATATTAAAATAACATGGGTAGTTTTTAGAAACATGCTGGTATGCCACAAAGAAGAACGAAATCATGTATTGACAGGGAAATGTAAATAAATAATTGGAGAGAGGACAGGAAGTCAGAAGGTAGAATGCTAAATTCTTACTCAACCCCTTTCTGTGCCAAGTTACTCTGGGACAGGGCCCCTCACAGCCCAGAGTGTGAAATGATTCAGCCAAACTGACCCAATTTACCAACCACTACAACCCCCCCCAGGAAAACCTCTGTTCTGTTTTCATGTCTACTCCCTACATGACTCGCTTCCCCATTTGATCCTGATTGAATCGATTTTACCTGAGCAGTTATACTTATAATCTTGTTGGTGGACCATAGTTTTGTCCCACCTCATGCCTGTCTTGTGAGTTCATGTGTTTCCCATTTTAGACTTGCCTCACCTTGTAGTGTTTTGCTCTGTAAAACCCCTAGAAAAGGCAGGGTCCTTGGCAACCCACTCGGGTCCCCTTCTGTCCCTCTCTCAGACAGCTTTCTTTTCCCCAACAAATATATTCTGCTCATGACCTCTGTTGTTCCTAAAATTCATTCTTCAGTTTTAGAGAACACAGACTCTTCCCAGGTATCTTTCAGGTTGAGGGTTTCATTCCCCTGTATCGCCATTATTTTGGCTATGTGTAATATTTAATCCAAAAGAGGTATTTTCTAATGTGTGATGAAACTTTAACTTGCTGCTGTGTTTTTCCCTCTGTTGTTCTACTATTCTGGTAGAAGCATCTCCTTCACATACTTGAGATAAAGTACTGCTTCCAAAGTACCAAGTGATAAGATCCTGGGAGTAAGATGACAGAATGAGAGACACTCCAGTCCCACATGTACTGCATTTCCTTATGCTTGAGTCATTGTGCACAGCTCTCTTATTTTTCTACTAGTGTGTCTCTATTAATAGTAGCAAAAATATCTATTATGCGTAAGGCCCTGTTTACATATATGATCTCTGTCTCATCTTCAGGATAACCTCCAATTTAGACACTGTTGCCCACATAAAACACATTGATCAAGTAAAGCACTGAGTAGGTAGGTTGCCTGCCCCAGGTCAGCCCTGGGCTATAGCTGTACTCAGGTGGACCAACCGTAGTGGATGCTCTCAGCTCCTTCCTCTGCTACCACTAGATGTGCCATGTTCTTCTCAAGCTTCAGCCCTTTTCTCGTGGTGTTGCCTTTGCTAACAGCCCGTTCTCTCATGCTCCTTTCTACTTAAGTTCACGTGTTCCACAAGAGATAGTTTCAGCCCTTTCTTCATTATTTTTAGACTCATTGAATTGCTCTTAACCTTCTATACAAGGAGGAAACATGACTGTTTATTAACTACCTATCAATGGCAACCTGTAATGTAAATAATATCATGTCAGTGTTGGTTATATGTTGGTAAAAATGAAGTTCAGGAGAGTGAATACCTCTCTGCGTAGTCCCCCAGTATGGGGTGAAAGCAGATTTGGACCCGACTGTGTTCAACTCCCAAGCTCTTTACCCTGTAACACATTGTTCTGCCCTGTGACTTGTTTGTGTTATGGCATAGTACATATGGCATAAGGTATTGAATTATGAGTTTCTCATAGAAGAGAATCCATGAGGTTTTTAATGATGAGCTCAAAAAATTATATGGGGGGGGAATAGAAGGTAGATAAATGGGAGGGAGATCTTTTCCAAATGGACAGGTGAAAAAGAGATGGAGGGAAGGATGGAAAGGGGTTTTTAGAAAAATAATTTGGAATGTGTGTGATGAAAATACAGTTTGCAGGTGGGAAGAGGGCCAAGGAAGAGGTGGAGAGAATGGGTGGTGGATGAAGAAAATTAAGATACATTATGCTATGAGAGGTGTTAACCAGTATGCACAGCAAATATGGACTAATAAAAATTTTAAAAAAGGAAAGCAATACTGAATTAGGTCTCCTTCAAGGCAAGAGCCATATCCGTGTTTGAAACCATAGTTCCAGAAAAGTGCTATGGAAAGTGTTTCATGAATAAATTCTTCAGTTCTTCTATAAGGCTGATCTAGAGAATTCCTGCGGTGCTGTTAGGCACTCATTTCGCAAGTGTGGTTGACTATACTTTCTCTTTCTTCAAAATGTACAGATTGCCTCTGCAGTTATGAGGAAAATGCTAAATTCACCTCTGAGATTATTGACTATATCGTACCTCTTTAGCCATGATGTGATTTAATGACTTTATCTTATAATATTTGTTTTTCTTTCTTTTTTTTTTTTTTAGTGAACACTGTGGAAAGATTAGTAAGCAAGACAAAGAGAATAAGAAGCCATAGAGAGTAGTGAGAGATGGTTTTAAATAACTTTTATAAAGCAAAGTTTTCCTCTATTCAAAGATCCTCTGAGCTCTGTGGGAGAAGATACAAATAATGTATGGTATTAGCTTTGCATGCTTGAGAATTCCACATTCTTTTCTTTGTACCCTACAGTTTAACAGAGAAACACTGACAATTTGACCGTAAGTGCCTCACCAGTCTGCTCAGGGGACTCCCATTAGAAATATAAGCTGATCCCACGGTGCCTGGGCTTCTTTCAGTCAATAACATGGCAGAGAACATGTGATATGCACAGGCAGACTGATTAGGAATGAAAGCGTATCTGTGGGTATAAATGGAGCAATAAAGGCACTGGATTGGACTTTGAAGGGGAAATCAAGGAGAGAAACAGCAGCCAAATATGAGTGCATAGAAATTTAATTTTTTTCTAAAGGCTGGGTTTCTTTATTACTTGTTTTCAGAGGAAAATGGTCAGGTTGTTCAAGGCCTAAAAGGACTTTGTTACTCTGATTCTTAGAACAATCTTCTTAGAAGCTTGCATTTTGTGACTATAAATCTGTATTCACAAAATTGTATTAATTTGACTGACTAGAATTATTAACCATATTACAGCAAGTAACTGCCAAAAGTAATTCTCTGCCATGTTCTGTGACTTTATTTTAATTGATTTTTCAGCTTATGTGATTTTTGT